CCTGAGGAGAGAGGAACTGTTCCGTCTTTGATACAGTAACCGGCGTCCTGTGGCCAAAGTGCTGTACAGCTGTAAATACAGCACATCCCAAATCACAAATGCTCTGCTTATGAAAACAGTTAAAAATGATACTCTCACACACACAAAATGTGAAACGAGAATCTAAAAGCTAAAATCGTTCCCACTAAGGGTCCTCTATGGAGCAAGGCATGAATTCCACACAATACCGGACATATTAAAGTAATTATATTTGCAGAAATGGCCTAAATTTGCTTCAGAATCTGGAAAAAGTCCTCACGTTGTAGCAGCAGTGAATTGAATTCGAGTTAGATGGATGATACCTTAATATCCTATTTCGAACTATATCTTCGCTCCGTTTCTCTCATACCTTGAAAGTCCAATCGTAATGAACAGTGTTGTCATGTTTTCACTTCCTAGCATCAATCATTAATCCTCTGTTTAGAGGCAGCTAGGAAAGTTAAGCAGAAGAGTTTGAAGAAAGCTGAAGATCAACAGGACAAAACTACAGATGTGTCATGATTTAGGGTTGCAAGCCAGACAGATTTTGACTAGTACAATAGGACAAAAACAAGAGAAAGAAGAAAAGAACAAAGACGAATAGAATGAAGAGAAATGTGAGGAGAAATAAACAGCAGAGGAAGATAACCAAAATATTTTGAGAGGAAAAAAGAATATGGTGTACTTGACTACATAGAAAAAGTATAACTTCATGTTGCAAAAATATGAACGGTAAATATACTGAGATGCAATTTCAAGATTCGTATCCTTGTCATTAAACACACAAGGTTCCATCAGGACTGCTAAACGAAAAACTAAATGTTGGTGATGGCACGACAAAAAGATGGCAAGAACTGTGACAGTGGCAGAACAAATGACATTCTTTAACCCTGGTGCTGTTGGCTGCATTCATTACAGTGCGCTAGCACCCAGATGTACTCGATCTCATGGGAAAGTGGAGAGAAGGGAGCGCAGACCACTTCCATTCACGAAGAAGTCTCTTCTAGTAGAGTGGAAAGCACACTGGCGATAAAGAGTAAATTCGTTCTGTGCTATTTTTGAATGAAGGCCAACATCAGTGCTTGACTTTTTCCTTCTTCTCTGACTACATAGGCCACATATTACTACCAAGCTGATTGCAGCCACCAGGTAGACATGCATCGAGCTGAATACACCGTTTTTTACTGATTATTACTTCCAATGGCTTGAATAGTGCACGTAGCTGTCTGCTGAATAATGCGTTATGGCTGACGGTAATTCTTTATGTAATCACACAGCAAAAACCATAAATGCTGCGGGCTCCGAAAGCGTAATACTCAAAATAGAAACAGAAAGGAAGGTCCTAAACCGTTTTAATGTCGGTCCCCTTAACAGTTCCATAATCGGCGATATTCCTAGGAGCATTTTTTCATGGAACTCGTTTTCGAAATCAAATCATCTAGCTAAGAGCTGAAGACTCTACCTGAAAGAGTAAATGCATGACAAAGATTCCCAAAATTGGCGACATATGGGACGGCATTCACTTCATTATCCTTTGGGATAAACAAAAATGAAGATCTCATATCCTTCCAAATAAGCAGTACTTTAAATGCCTATAATCTCTGTAGGCTTGTCATAAGAGTCTAAAGAAGTTTATGATCTGCCGTTCCTTGATTGCCGTGACAGCCAGAAGGATGCACTCTTCCGCTTATCTCGTCCTGGTGTGATGTCCCTTAAGTTCGGTGAATCATAACTACTCCATCATATGGATGGTTAGATTGGATGCTTCCAGAGAAACTCTCCACAATCGAGCGAGACGCCTGAGCAAAAGTCAAAGCGCAGGAATGAACTAACGATACTTTGTAAATCTTCTTGTGAAGAACAAACAGTTTTTTTCCGCTCGTCCTCTCTCGAAGCTAGAACGAGAGCATTCCAGAAATTGAGTGGAATATAGCATGGATCAGCAAATCTATGGCAGAGCTGCTAGCACGTCAGGTCAATCGAAGGAAGGAAAGTTTTTAACCGTTGGAATGTCAGTTTGCCTTGCACTTTCATGACGAGGTCATTTCCGATTCCCTCTTTTTATAAAATTAAAGGTGAGGCACTGTTTACCACGTTCGTGCCCTCAGCCAAGAGTAGCTCATTTCTGAAAGCAGAGTCGACAGCAGCTATGTGGCAAACACAGTTTGTAACCTCATGTTTCTTTCCCACAAAGTTGTACTTATTTATCAACCTTGGAATGATAAAAGGCGAGTCATTCCTACCAGCACTCGAATCCGGGCGTTTCGATTCATAGTTCGACTCATGACAATTGAGCAAGCCCGGTCTGAAGCATGGAAAATTCTTATAAATTCCTTGCCTTTGAGAATTCGTGGTTCGTGAGTCAAACGTTGCCCTCCGCCGGAATCGAATACGATGCCTAAGGATTTTGCAACCTACCTCTTGCGCACTGTGTCTCTGCGACACAGGTAGGCTCACTGTGCATAACACCACTGCTTTCTCACGGTATCTAACATTAGACAACGAAAGGTTAATTTTTTTATTTGGAACAAACGTTAATATAACGACAGGCAGAAAGAAGGAAACCGACTAGTGCTAAGTGAGTATAAAGCGAGCAAATGGGATCGGCAGCTGACTTGTTACTCTTGCTTCGTTTGCCGATCGGTCAGCGTCGGTCAGCGTCAGTCCAGCGTCCGTTGTGGACACACGGATGAGCACATGCTTTGAACGCAGTGGTCCATCATGTTCTGGGACCGAGTTTTGGCGTTGCGGACAAACTTCGCCGGCAGCAGTGGCAGCAGGCTGACGATCGTGTCCTTGACGTTTTGCCAGCAGTTCTGTTTGCAGCACGCACATTTGTTCAACTGTCGGCACTGCTTGGCGTTGACCACCTCTAAATGTGAACAGCACTCAACTTGAGGGTGTTTCATTGAGGCAGGGGCTGAGATCTCTTACTCAGCAGCGAGCAGACGATCAGCAGCCACACCAGCATCGACCTGAGGCCAGTGGCGTCTGCCGGGCGCAACTTTACACCGGCAACAATCCACATCGTCAGCTTGTTCGTTCTTGGTGCTGTGGTTGC